TGGAGTCACCGGGCCGGCCGGACCAGCCGGCCGCGACGGCGATGCCGGACCCCCGGGCCCCCCGGGACCGCCAGGCCCCTCTGGATCAGCTAGCAGCAGTGGAGGGACCGGGCCAAGGGGCCCCCCAGGGCCAGCGGGCCAGCCCGGCCCACCTGGGGTCTGCGCATGCAACGGTATCATCAACCCTCCACCAGAACGAAATAGAACATCCTCGCCTCAAGCATTGAAAGGTACGTTTGAGGATCTAAAAAAACAGACTCGAGCACTCTTAGTTATCCTTACTTGGGGTATTTTCATTTTTACCCTCGCAGAAGTAAACTTGCTATTTTTGCTCTTTTTCTTCTTCTTCGAAGTTCGGAAAAGGTCAATAACTTGGGCAAGAGACTATAGTAACTGGTGCTGTAGCAGACACCCTCTGGTGTTGGATTACATTATGTAGCAAGTAGCAGGACAGAGTTGGAGGCTGGTCACGATCAATATGAATGTGTTTGAGTAAGAATAAACAGAGCAGAGGTTTGTTAGGCTAGACCATGTGAAGGTGAAGCATTATACATTTGCTGTGGAAATATTACAATTCACAATCACATTTAAGGCTTTGATTGTAACTTTAAATTTATGTTGCAGATTGTGACGAACTGTTTAAGGCAGGCTACGGCAGTAGCGGTGTCTACACCATCCAACCGGTGGCTTCCCGAGACCCTTTCCAAGTCTACTGCGAGATGACTGGCCGGGCCGGCTGGACTGTCATCCAGAAGCGGTTCGACGGTTCCGTAAACTTCAGTCAGGACTGGGAAGGGTACAAAAACGGGTTTGGGGATCTAAGCGGCGAGTTTTGGCTCGGAAACGACAAAATCTATCAGATTACCAACGTTAGAAGCTACCGCTTGAAAATCGATCTTGAAAATTGGTCCTCGGAAACGGTGTTTGCTGAATACGCTACTTTCTATGTCGAGGATGAAGCGGCGAATTACCGCTTGCAAGTTGGTGTCTACAGCGGCATTGCTGGTGATAGCTTATCGTGGCAAGATGGTTACCCATTTTCAACACACGACCAGGATAACGATCCACATCCACATAGTATTCACTGCTCCATTGTCCATGGTGGACGTGCTGGTTGGTGGTATAGAACCCTAGGGACAGCTTGCGAGCGTTCTAACCTGAACCAGCCGTACAAACATGGCGGGGATGGCACCGACCATTACGGTATACAGTGGAACCATTGGTCAGGCCATCACTTCTCCATCAAGTCATCTGTCATGAAAATCAGGCCTAATCTGCCGTAAAACTTTGCCTAACAGCTGTGCGCATTGGCAACCACTTTTTTAGGTTTACCTTCGCAGAGTGAGTGAGTGAGAGTGAGCGAGAGTGAGTGAGTGGGAGTGAGTGAGTGAGTGAGTGAGTGAGTGAGTGAGTGAGTGAGTGAGTGAGTGAGTGAGTGAGAGTGAGTGAGTGAGTGTGAGTGAGAGTGAGAGTGAGTGAGTGAAAGTAAGAGAGTGAGTGAGAGTGAGAGTGTGTGTGTGAGTGAGTGAATGAGTGAGTGTGAGTGAGTGAGTGAGTGAGTATGTTACAATTTGCACTGTTTTTTCTTGTTACTTAGAGTGAGTTGGTTACAGATATAACAAAAAGCGTACACACACATATTCGCACACACACACAAACACACGCGCACGCACACACACACAAACACACACACAGGGACGTGATGGGTTTTTTACCTTGTCTGTTTATGCGAGACTGTCTGAAGCAGTCAGTAGCCGGGTTAGTGTATGTTTCATCAACTGTCACATATATTTTACGTCTGGTGAAAATAAAATATGGAGTATGATAATACATTTTGTAGTGCTGGATCGACTGTTTCATATGTAGTGCGGTGAACAGACCCTTAATTATATTCTGCAAACGTTTAGTCTCCCGGGCGACACGAGTGTTTTTCCACGCACCGTTGACTACCAATGTATTCCCACTCCGAAACCTCTCTCAGCATTACAAAGGCTTTCAGTGCTTAAGCCTTGGACACGAAAAGGCGGAAACTTCTATAGCTAGAGGCTTGACCTTCTGGTGGTATAAGGGACATGCTCATGCCGCCTGCATGTCTTAGAATCCGAAAGATGGGACATTCCATATTTCATCTTTTGCCGACAGCCACTCTTCAGAGTATGACGATTTACCCCCGTTTTATCAATGGAACAGTCCATAGATAATACCATATATAGAGAAATATTGAAAAAAAGATACCGTAGCGTATATCACCCTTAGATTTCGGTTGAATGGGCCGCTCGTCACGTGAATGTTGATCTTTTACGCTGAGCGCCCCCTCGGGACGTCAATGGAACAGTCCATAGGGTACGCCATTGTTTACCCGTCGCCATGGCGACAGCAGGTGTCGTATTTCCCGTCGCGCGACCCGGACTTACCCTAACAACTGACATTTAGCGTGCGCTCTCTGTAACCTTTACCGCTGTAACTGCTCCCCTGTGGCCAATTGCGGGGAAACCTGTCAAAGAGAGGTCTAGTGTGAGCTAACTTGCTATTCTGGACGCCATTTTATGTGCGTTGAATACGAAGGTTCGCCACAATCGTACTGTAAGAGGACAGACCGGTTTGTTATCGTGAAAAGATGGCGGCGGCGATTTCGGCTAGTTCACCCCGGCGAAGAGGCGGCACAGAGAGTCCGGACAGCCCTCGCCTCCTTTCAGTCATTTCCGAGGAATACAGGAACCGTCTGCGGATACCTGCCTACGAAGAGGCCGACAAATTCAGCTTTGGACCAGTGTATGAAGACAGCATTTTCGAGATCATCCACAAATATCTCGAGTTGGACACTCACCACAGAGTGGCATACGTGGGCGATCCTGTGGGGAGCCTGGCGCAGAAAATACAGGACCACTTCTGTCTCACACAACCTGTAGTCGCGGTAACACCGGGTAAGGTGCACTACGAACCGACACCCGACAGGAGACGACTTCTCCCGATCGAAATCCAGAATGTCGGTGCCGAACAGTACTTTCGCGAAGCCGCGCAAGACTTCCCTTCGGTCTACAGCGCCGCTCCTTTTGACAGAATCATTATGTTCGACGCCATAGAACACATCCAGAACCTACGAGAAACCTTCGGATACGTCCTGAAAACGCTTCACGAGTTCGGCAAGGTCTTGCTGATCCATCGTCCGGGTCCTCTGAACACTTTGCCGTACTTTACGGATCTCAGTAACAGAGTTAGGGAGTTGGACGTGCCCTACATTAACATCTTACAGGACATACAGGTTTGTTTATTTGCATTTCTGATCTGTTATGAGTTCACTTTGCTCACCATTATTGTATATAGCCTACCTTTATTTGTGTTCATATTTTGTTTGGATTCTGTTATCTGTGCCTTTGATTCTCTTTTGTTTATGGATTATTTAAATTATACTCAAACGGTGTCGTATAAGCCCACACGGGCTGGGCGCGGGAAAGCGCACGACACGAAAATAAAGTTTCATTCATTCATTCATTCATTCATCCATCCATCCATCCATCCATCCATTCATTCATTCATTCATTCATCCATCCACTCACCCATTCATTCATTCATCCATCCATCCATCCACTCACTCACTCACTCACTCACTCACTCACTAACTCACTCACTCACTCACTCACTCACTCACTCACTCACTCACTCACTCACTCATTCATTCATTCATACAGGCTTGTAAAGCAGATGTGGAGTGGGAACTGGAACAGCTACCTGTGGTCATCCCAAAACTGAAATGGCTAGCCATGCTGAAGGAAAAGTTCCCACCTCAGGTGAGAAAACGCTCTATTTCAACACCTGAATGGCCTGAATGAATGGGCCTCCGTCATTGTTCCGCCAGAGTCAATGTTTTGGTCAGCGTGCCTAGATGCAACCATGTAGACCGCGCGACTTCTTTTTAGACCATTTTTCGAAAACTCGAAAAACTCAGGCAAAATTTTCTATCCCAAGAGGGAGGAACATGTATGCATTTTCATGATTCAGTAGATAACTATTTCATGTAAAGTTAAGTGTACATGTACATATCTTTCTGACAACAATGGACAACGCAACGGGAACAGCTTAAAAGACTAAATTTAGCTACTAGTATACCCGTATACCAAGGTTCCTGATTTTGCGAAGTGTATCAAAAATCCAAACGGTTTGTTCTAGTTGCCAACATCACAGTAAAGGATATTTTATTATTCCAAACGGATTAATATTCCAAATATTCCAAAACAGACTGTACCAGGGTTCCAAATACTGGGTGCATAGTACACCTTAGTGCGCCCAAATGTTTGGAGCTGTGCACCTATTCCCAAAAATGAATTTCGAGCCTTGAAACAGAACGATGTATAACCTATGCTTACAATAACAAGGAGTCACCCGGCAACACTACACGCCATGTCAGATAAACCTCAACAGTGGATCGATGTTAGATCAGTTCCATTATGTGTTCTGCTACGCTCTGTAAACACCAAGTGTTTGCCCATTTCGGCGGCATGTGTTGCTTGTTGATAAACCCAAAGTTACAACGATCAAAGGGCGGCTTCGACTGGTAGCATGTTGGCTTTTTATTGTTGCTTTGAAATTTAGACGATTTCAGTAACTATCAGAGTTATCAACCAAGAATTGAGGTGTTCAAAAACTCGTATTTCCCCAGAACTATCGTAGACTGGAACTCGCTGCCACCAAGCACATTTGGGGCATCATCGCTAGAAAGCTTTAAACAACTCCTACAATCAAATGTGCAAAGATTGAGTGTAACAAGTCGTTCGGTGTGATATAGCTAGCTGCCGCCGCGCCGCGTGCCTGTGAAGCTGGTGTGTAACGCCGAAGGGCGGTTATATCGGCTATATTGATACAGATACAGAACTAGTAACAACATGAATGCACTTTACATATACACTAAGTATTTTCTCGACAGGAGGGTTTTTTTTAACAGGTGGCCTTGATCGATATTGACAAATATGACGTAAGCGCGCCACTTTCATTAAAGCCCTACAAGCGTAGAATAAGCATATTGCGTGTCCGTCTTGTCACACCGACTTTAGGTCATGTTTGCTTGGGTTAACAGTCTGTATAATGTCCGTGGTTAGCCCTAACAGGTAAGTAAAAATCGGCCTAAAAAGGATTGTAACTGGCCAGAGGAGTTAGCCGGCCATAGAGGGTCCAACTTGCACGTAAACAGGATCTTGAATGGCCGGCAAACTCCCCTTTAAGGCCCCTTTAAGGCGAATTTCTACTATTTATTCAGCCTTGTTTGGGAATGCATCTATAGCAGTGACACCTGTGCTGCAATGTAATGTAATGTGAACCAGTCAGAATTGCCCCGAGGAAGGTGACAGTCTCTTTACTCAGTGTCTTACCAATAAATAAATTAAAGTGTCTTACCAACCTGATGAAACTATTCACGGTTATCTCTGCATTGTTTTTTCCCCAGGTTCGAGTGATGAGCGACTACGAGGTATCCAACGGCATCCGTGAGCTGTCAGAGGGCATGCTGAAGTACCACGGAGAGACGCTAGAGTTCATCGACCGGCTCATGTTCATCACCATCTCACACCCGCTCTTCGACACCAACTACCCCAGCATGCAGCGCGCCGGCGGAAGTGCAATCGTGCCGTTTCCGGGCATGGAGGAGCTTCAGTTCCAGATGCCCATCACAGAGGACCTGAAAAAGTTCTTGGTCAAACCTCCTCCGGAAGAGAGGGTCAAGAGGATACGCTAGACTCTGGAAATTTTTATGAGGGATGTACGATTTGGGAAATGCAAATTATACCGGTCAGCATTCTGTAGAGGCATCTGCTATAATCTTAGTGAACACTTTTCAATATCTGAGGGACTTGAAAAGGTTCTTAATAGATCTTAATAGTCAAACCAGAAGAGAGGATGAAGAGGATACGTTAGACTGTGGAATTTTGAACGTAGAGTGTGACTTTGTACAGTTTATTTTTAAAATGCAAATACCGGGTGGCAGCATTCTTTTAGATACATTTGCTGATCTTATTATTAATTAAGTGAAAATCGTTCAATATCTGAAAATTAGGATATCATTAGATCTTACTAGTAGTGTTGTATGTTAGGGTCTAGGCTCATAGATACGGACTTTTGAAGTTGAAGTTCAAAGCTAAACCTTCACCAGATGAGAGAGTGAAGAGGATACGGTAGACTGTGGAAATTTTGATGAGGGATGAAACTTTGTACGATTTGTTTCTTGGAAATGCAAATACCGGTCAGCATTGTTTGGATGCAGCTGCTAATCTACAAATGTAGGCAAGGGCATTATATAGAGATATTATGTAACATTAGAGATATTATCTAATACAATGTGTGTATATATATTATTTCTTTGTGAACACCTTTTGGTGTCAAGAAAGTAGGATTAGTTAGATCTTATATAAAATTTGTGCACAACAATTGTACAGTTAGGGTACAAAGTAAGGCATCTACTTTAAATTTACATAGCTATAAATTGTATAAGGCTAACCTAACTAATACAAGAGTGTGCGGATGGTATGGGGAAGGAAAGAGCTTTTACAATTATTGAACAAAATTTGTATGTGCCAAATCTCACGAGAAAAGCCACAAGAATGGCTATTTTATGTCCTAACGACGACTGCCAAGGGCTACCGTCATATGATAAACAGAATGCTTTCCAATACATGCACATGTGTGTAAAATGTGTATTTTAGATTGGCAAATTTGTGTATATCAAGGAAATATGTCATTCAGCATGATTTTAGTGATCACTGGCAATTTTATCAAAATCACGCAAGTTTCCAGCACCAGTTGTACAGTGCTTTTATCCTATTGCATATTCTGTTGCTCAAAACAGTTTGCTTCATGTTCAGATGTTGTTGACTGCATTGAAAAAAGATGTGATTGTCCTTTACTGCCAAACCGTATGTTAGGAAAAACCTCCATTCGTGATAGTACATATATTAACATACATGACTTCACTACTTTTACTGGAGTCTGAAGTAACATACACATAACATTAAAAAAATTATAACATATACATTCACGGTCGATGTTCAGGAGAACTTGCACTTCTTGTTCCACCGCTCAGAATCTTTCAGCGTACCAGTAGGTTCTCTTCCAGTTCTCATCAATACACCGTTAACATACCTGTCTCCAAGTCATTTTACAACAACAGCTCCTTTCCCCGGACTGCAAAATTATGGAACTCTCTTGCAAACAGCTGCTTTCCGTCCGATTACAATCCACAAAGCTTCAAAACAAAGGTCCACCGCCATCTCCTGACATAACTACATTATACTCACTTAAGTACCTCTAGCTCTATGCCTAGAAGTGGCCAAAAATAATAGGCCTTGCATTGAGCGACACCGTTAAAAAATACATTACATTAAATTTGAGTGCACAATACATTCATATATACATTCTTCAATTTACTACCATTTCTGTATAATCCTGTTTGCGTCCGTTTGTTTCAGCCTGTCTTTGATGAGTGTTTTGAATGTAGAAGGTACATATGTTCTGAGTTCAAATACTATGGCTATGCCCAATACGGGGTTTGGGCATGTGATGCGAAGACCGGCAAACACCTTAGTTTATAAGGCATACCACCAGGACTTCCAAAACCCTAGACCCCGGGGAAGACCACCCAAGAGGTGGAAAGATCAGATCCAGAGTGACACAGGGATTACTCTAAGTGTAGCTGAGGCTATCGCTCTTGACAGAACTGGTTGGAGGAACCTGACGGAGGGGGGCAAGGGGCCAGTACCTGGCCTGGGCACTTAGGCAGGTAGGCATACTAAAGTAAGACTCTATTAGATCTCTAGCTAAGCAACTTTGAGTCAGGGTTTTTGTCAGTGGATCCAGGTGCAGTGGTTATCGCTTTTGTCGACTGACAAGTCTTGGGAGTCCTGCATGCACCAAGAAAAAATGGCAATGATTAATTTCTGTCAGTGTAAGTGAGCACGTGCTTCATACATGATAAGTTCATTGACAAACTTTTATTAATTTTTTTTCATCATAAAACGGCTGGGCAGCCCATTCAGTTTGTAGGAGATGATTCTTGATCTGGCCCATGATTACATTTAGTAAAGCAACACAAGGTAGCCAAGACTCAAATGAAAAAAAAAAATGTGGGGTCGTGTGGCGTAGCGGCAGCGTTCTCGACTCGGAACCAGAGGCCCGGGTTCGAGTCCTGACATGCCACCGATCTTGTGCCCTTGGGAAAGACACTTTGCACGACTTTCCTCACTTCGCTCAGGTAAAAATGAGTATTGCACTGTCCCTGTGTTACTGTCCCTATGTTAATATAAGTTGAAAAAACTTGAGTGTGCCGTCACCACGTCTTGTGATAACATGTTTCGGAATATAAAAAAAAATGTTTAAAACCCAGCCCTCAATTCACCCCTCAGCAGGATCTCACACGTAGATGCCAAATATGGTGCTGTCAATCAACCACACTCTCTTTTGCATCGAGTATGCTTAGCATTACCAAATCTTTCTAAAAATAAGTTCTGAAATGTGTTAACGAAAGATCTATAGTAGTTGCACATTCAGACTTGGCAACTTTTCGAACCATGTAAACGTTTCAACGTCTTTGCCCCGATCAAGATGATTTAAAAAGCGATGTTTCTTGGGTTGAAAGAATCGCCAGGATGAACTACCACAATGTTCACCAAAATCAAACGCTCAGAAAAAGCGCTTTATATACAGGATGTCACAGTTGTGGAATAACATAGGCAACTAGCAAAGTACTGGATTGTAAATAGTGAATTGTGTAAAGTTTGCCATGTACTGTTAATTTTGTAATGTTTGTACGTTTGTAATATATGTATGTAAATATGAATGTGTAGACCACAGGAAGAATAGCCTTTTATGAGGCTAATTGTGGATCTGAAAAAAACTGTTTCTTCCGTTTGGCGAGAGTCCCCCCCCCCTCCTCCTTGGTTTGTACGGAAGAACCACCTGCACGTCAAAGTCTACAAGGAACAGGCTGGCTTCCTTCCGCAGGGTCTTAAGATCGAGGCCACCCTGCTTCACCGGAGGGACTCGGGACACGCGAGAACCCCCGGACTCCGCTTCTCTTACCGGTGAGGCTTGGGGAAAAGTTTTGTCAAAATTTCTCAACAAGGAACTTCCTACGCCAAGAAAAAACAGGATTTTGGAAACGGTCAGACGTTTCAGGTAGCATCCACTGCCTTTGGAAACTCCAGTGACACGAAAGCTAGTGGATGCTTCCTTAAACGTCTGAACGGTTCTAAAATCATATCCAGTTGCTTGAGTAACTGTTTTTGCCGTTTCTTATTACCTTGATGTCTAACCTTCACCGACGTATCAAGGAACTTCCTAGCTTTAAGTTTAACCAAGGAGGTTAAATAATGGTTTAACCAACAGAGGAACAGAATTAGGTTGCTTAACAAATGTGACATCAGAAGTTGGTAGCGATTGCCTGTTGTTTTCTCAAATATCTATGAGGCGCAATAGACGCATAGCAAATGTGTTCCATTGTTTTGCAGATCAGAAGTTGCTTATATAAATGCCCAAGGATATCAGGGAGGTCAAGAAATCGCTTGGTGTTGAAAGTTTTGTCTTTGCGTTAACAATTGACTTACTTTCAGAAAGCTCTAGCAAAACATCGGTGTCTAAGCGATTAAAAAAAGTTTGTGCTAAATGCAAAGAGTATGTGATCTTTTTTAACCTTTTAACCTAATTATTTTTTTAATCAGAGCCTTTTAAAACTTAGCTTTCATGTTTTCTACAAGTTTTTACAACGTGGTTTTCGTCTTTCCTTGAGTTTTTTTTTACCTTTCTTTTCCCCACTTCTTCAATCTTCCTCTGATGAAGATAAGGCCATATATGTCTGTATACATGTAGCAAGGCAATCGGAAAGAAAAATCTATCACTGAAAAAAAGTACAAAGTGTGAGTAGAAACCTAAAGAGTCGAAACCGTACATATGTTTGGAACTTTGGAGCACTACTGTACAGTAAGTGGTTCATTCAACGGTCGCCGTCCTCCAGGCTACATTCTGCCACGGGCACGCAGTTGTTGCCAGTTTGTAGCACAGGTGATGGAAAAACAACAAAACGTCGCGGCGGTGAAGAATTCGTCCCTTCCGTCGGACAAGGCCGCTCCACGTGGGGTGCTGTACGTGCGGCCTGCCTTATCATCAACCAAACATGCAGGAATCCTACACAGAGGGCTGCGAATAGCCTCTACCAGGCTTCGGGAGGCGGCTGAAAAGAGTAGAAATCGGCCAAATAGCGTGCAAATAGAGAGATAGCATGCCGAGGGAGTTGGTCTACTAGAGAGTACATTTTGCTGCATCCTAGCGCGCATTCAGGAGCGGCAAAGTACCTGGCATGGTGCTATCTCTTTATTTGGCCTATTTCTACCCTTTCCAGCCGCCTCCCGAACCCTGGTGGAGGCTAGTTTGGCAGCGTTTGTTTGCGACATTTTCACTCGTTGCGTTCATGCAACGATGTGGCAAGATGCGATGTGGCAAGGTGCCCAACTCATGTCCAAGTGCAAGGACGGATTCACCACTGACACCATTGACACTATAGGAGAGGGATGCCCTCTCTTTAGGACGGTATGTTTCTATTGTTTTTCTTCTGGCCTTTGTCGTACTTGAGACTTAGCTTAGCTTGCAATGTTGATAAAGATTAGGTACCGTTGCCATGGAGTCTAAGGGATACACAATACAAGGTTTAACAGATCTAGATAGTGAAGAGCAGTGTAAGTTAAGGCTATCCTCATGAAGGATGCACCAAGTTAAGCTATCGTCTGTACTTCCCAAAGTTTAAGGTAAAGGTTGCGTCATCTTTGGCACAACGAGCATTGCAGGGGCGAAACTTGATTCCAGGAAGGAAAATAAATCAAGGAAGAATGCAATCAACAAAAATTGAACAGCATGCTATGGCTATTGCCTCTACCATGTGTAAATATGTTGTAAATAATTTTTATATGTGTCTTTTGTATATATGTTAGTTTAGATGTATTATTTTTCAATGTGAACGCTGTTTTTCAAATAATGTGACAAATTGTACCTAATTCAGGGGGATGCGCTTCTACTCCCCCTGCTGCTGTACATTCGTAAAATGATGAGCAATAAACCAGACTAACTACGCTGACTATATAACGTTATAAGAGAATATTTGACAGGGGAGTTAGGCCGCCTTGGGGTTTGACTGGACGCACAGTCGTCTCTTTCCTTCAGAGGGAAAGAAACAACCTTCCGCGGACTGACTCAATTCAACTTTCTCTTTTGCCGAATACAACGATCCGTATTCCCATAGAAAGGCCTAGTGGAAGCTTCTATGGCTTCAAGTTGGACCGTCGATGCAGTAATGTTAAAAGTTTATGTACCTTGAAAATAAAAGGCAACGTAACACTTATCGATGTGGTGAGTCTTTAAACATTGCTCGAATGTTTCTGATATCTGTAACAAGGTCGCTAGGTGTGAAACGTTGGAGAGGACAACTGTCTTGGTCTGGCACAACCTTGTCCTTAAAACAACACGAAATTGGCAACAATAAAATCGTTCCTTAAGGCGTCCACCGACAGATGCGTGCTATCTACTAGACGTCTTAACACCTGACACCTGTAGATTACGACCAACCCATTGCCCGCATACTTCCTTATAGTACGGAACACTTGCATCTTTTTATAGGCCAGCCAAATGGATAGCGCCCTGCCAATTCCATGCTGTCTTGCCAATTTGATACTGTCTTTCCAACATGATACTGCCTTTCCAATTCGATACATTCTTGCCAATTTGATATTGTCTTGTCTATTCGATACTGTCTTCCAATTTGATACTGTATTGCCAATTTGATACTGTATTGCCAATTTGATACTGCCCTGCCAATTTGATACTGCATTGCCAATATTTATCTGTCTTGCCTATTCAAAACTGTCTTGTTGCCACCAAAATATATATCTTCTTGGAGATTACAGTGATAACAGGAAGTTACATTAGAGGCCATATAGTGTTTCAAGTACTAAAAATGTTGAACTTCGGCGTGAGGACATGACACGTGACAAAGATGAAGCCTACATGTAGCATTGAGGAAGACCCTGAGCTGAAGATGGTGTGACAGGACGACGCAGATACTACAAGAGTGTTGTGCAACAAGACAAAGGGGCAAGGACGCGACAAACACCTTCTAGACCATTCTAGTGGCATTCCTCCAGTCTTGATCACAAGGATACGTATAAAAACTCGGTATCTTAGTCTGAACCCAACAGTCTTGGACGACATTATCTTAGCACAGACCAAAGCGTTGCAGTACCTCTAGTCTAGCTTTCTGTCCCCTCTAACAGTCTTTTAAGACGTTATCTTAGCACAGACCAAAGCGTTGCAGTACCTCTAGTCTAGCTTTCTGCCTGTTCTAACTTCTTGAGAAGCTTACGATGGTTTCAGTACAGTTGTTGCGCCTTCTGAGCCTTCTTTATTTGGTGCCCAACTTTCGGAGCCAGGCAATCCCAACAAGTGATCGACGGAGAATTTCGGAGATCTATAGGAAGGAGGTTATCAAAGCTACCATTCTGGATAAGTTGGGGCTCAGCAGGTAAGATATATTTTACGTATACAAATACGTGATATGATGGGCTATATATTGCAGTGATATGATATGTTGTTTTGTGTGGCGTAGTTGTATTGAAGTATGATACTATCATACATTGCGATATGCCTTGTTTATTGTATTTAACCCTTTGGTAAAAGTTGATTCTTTATGGAATGGTCAAAAACTTTGAAGCTAATATATTTTCTTTTACGGCGCTTCTCTTTCAATCTTGTAGTCCTCTGGCAATTGTTTTAAGTAGCTTTTTTTTCTTCGTTTTTCTCTAAAATTTCATCGAAAGGGCCTTGCAATTGTACAAAGCGCACCGTGCCAACAGACGATGGAAATTTACAGAAACTTGTTTGTCTTTTAATTAAAATCGTTCTTATCATACCTCTTGTTTACTGACACTGGATGATGTAATAATATAACGTAGTTGACGGATGGCACATCCCTTGAATTGTGGCGACCCTTGCTACCTAAAGTGGGGGTATTTTCACAATGTCATTGGCCTTACCTCTCCCCTGTAGCTTCCGGCATGTTGTGGTATGCGGTACAGATAAGCCGCTAGGCTGTATCACAAACGTTCGACATTGACATTGGAAATGATTTTTTACAATTATGTAAACCCTCTCCATCATATCACCGTGCTTGTATTACTTCCATTCTTTGCTATAATAAACGAGCAATCGATTAAAACCGTCCCCTGACGGCCCGCAGTAGCATGCCCTCGCCCTCAGGCGCCTGTACAGTCACAGGGCCCTAAAAGCATGCTCCTAGGCTAGGATCATATAACTGTCATACAAAGTGCAATCTACAGTAAATTGTACATGCTATACTTACTGGATATGTATCTGTATAGCCGGTATAACCACCCTTCGCCGTAACACACCAGCTTCGCAAGCGCGCGGCGCGGCGGCAGCTGGCTACATCACACCGAACGACGTGTACACCTAACCTTTGAACATCTAACTCTAAACATTGTTTAAAGCTATCTAGTGATACAAAGTGATGAACTACTACACTACTAACTCCTGCAGGGAGCCTGACCAGTTCTACAGCCGTCCTCTGACTGCCCGCAGCATGCCCCCGCCGCTCAGACGCCTGTACCAGCGCAGGACCCGGCCGGCCAGACCCGTGCGGCCGGGACAATTCCCCCGGGCCACCGTCTACAAGATGATCGTCTTCCCCTCCACAGGTGATGAAATGTTAAAGGGCCTGCATGGGGGGTAGTGATTACAAATTACCCAAAATTACCCGCCGATTACGAATTACTTATTTATTTATTGTTTAGGCCACACCGATTTAATTTTATGGATGACATCCTCTGAAGACCCCCAAACTAGTGCGCGCGGGCGAAAAAAATAAAAATCCGGCCAAAAATAAAAATGCTACAAAACCACAGGAATACAAACCTGGTATTGTGAATTTGGCGCATTACATAGCGACGTATACGACAGGCCGACACATGCTGGATTTTTGCGGAATATATAAATCGACACTGCTGTACGTATGTACTGAGTTCTTGAGTCTTGGAGCTTCGGTAGCCTGGCTGCCGTCAACCAGAGTTATCACCACCATGCACTACCCAGGCCTAAAGCCAGGCCAGAGCCTCGGAATACGTGATCTTTTTTTTTTTTTTTTTGAGATCGGGCGAAAATCAATGCGCGCGCGGATGTCATCCATAAAATTAAATCGGTGTGGCCTTATTTCAGGCTCAAAATGCCCCATAGTCACTTACATACATAACATGACATAAACACATCTAAAAAAATATAAATTGAAATATGTACGGATAAATGAACTATCCTGCCGCAAGGAGGCCCTCATACGGTGGGCGGATTACGTCTCAAAGCTGATTACGACTTTACGCTTTGCGGCTAATGTACTATTACGAATTACGTTGATTTTTTGGGAGGCTGGCTTCGTATACTACGCATTACGAAAAAAGGCATGTTAGCCTCCACAAGTATAATGCCATGATGAATAATGCCAATAAACCCCATCTTTTTTTTTACAGACCCCGTATCGAACAGCACAGACCATCTTCGGTTCAAGCTGCCCTCCACAGCCGGGAACCGTGTTCTATCTGCCAGCCTGTCGGCCTACCACGGGCTGCCGAACTGGCGAGGACTGCCGAGCAAAACCGAAGACAAGGTTCGGAGGGACTCGCCGTTTTCCGAAAGCCTGAAGGATTATTCCAAGTGAGCTTTGCACCTCTTTTAAATCTTCAAGAAGGAGACTAGATTGAAATAATTTTGGTCTACAACATTTCACCATAACCAGTTAGTCTAAACTGTAATATCTATTAGGGGTTAAAAAAAGAACAGACCGGGAGGGCGTGCAAACTTCCAGGCACCTCTGGCCCGTTTCAGAAGTCACGCACGTGTCCGTTAGGTCACGTGTCCAAGGCCATGCCTCCTGACGAAGGCCGAATATTCAGTTCGTCTCATAAAAAGTTTAAAACTAGGCACCATCAAGACCTACCAACCTACAAAGTTCCCTGACAATCTATCCATAGATTCTTGAATTATGCTTGAATTAATTAACAAACGGACAAACGCTACTGAAAACATAACCTTCTTGGCGAAGGCAATGAATACAAAGAGACCAGAAGATTAAAGATGTTCCTATCTTTCCCGTGTGCCTGCCAGAGTGCCCTCCTCCTTGCTGGTGCACCTGGAACAGAGAGCCATCTTTGGAAACCCTGGGCACGAGAAGGTCATCCGGGTCGGGTCCAAGTGGGTCGACTTCCGGTTGCCGGGCTGGGCGGAGTTTGACGTCACAGAGGTACGCCTGATGTTACCAGTCTGGGTGCCAGGACCAGTATACATGCTAGCTCCTTGGCTCCAGGGCTAGCCTGGGTGCCAGACTGTTGTCAGGGCCAGTATACAGGCTAGCTCCTTGGCTCCAGGGCTAGCCTGGGTGCCAGACTGTTGCCAGGGTCAGTATACAGGCTAGCTTCTCGGCTCCAGGGCTAGCCTGGCTGCCAGACTAGCCAGATTTTTCTTCAGTTTTCAAAATTGCAGGTTGCTTGATTTTTGTTCTGCAACATTGAAAATGTCTCTGCAAAATGTTGACTGCAGACGGGTATTTCTAACGCTGTAGTAGTAATAAATTTTGACTCACTCCCTCACTCGTTCGTTCACTAATTGAAAAGCCATGGACCTTCCTAGCTTACGAACTTCTGGCTTGGGAGCCCTGAGAGAAACGGCGGGCTGGATATCCGGTGTCTCACCTGTAGGAAATACATGAAGAGCGCGCCTTTCTACACGGACCCCGACCAGACGACCGAGGGAGCGTCGAACAGGCCCTTCATGGTGCTAACGCTCCAAGAGGTAAGGGAACAGGTACGAAGGAAGGAAGGAAGGAAGGAAGGAAGGAAGGAAGGAAGGAAGGAAGGAAGGAAGGAAGGAAGGAAGGAAGGAAGGAAGGAAGGAAGGAAGGAAGGAAGGGAGGGGGTCGTGTAGCGTAGCGGCAGAGTGCTCGACTCGGAACCAAGAGGTTCCGGGTTTGAATCCTGCCATGCCACCGATCTTGTGCCCTTGGGAAAAGGCACATTACACGAATTTCCTCACTTAACTCAGGTGAAAATGAGTATGTCTGTTGTCCGTGCGTTGGTGGTGGCATAAAATTGAAGTTGAAAGAACTTGAGAGTGCCGTTGCCATGTCTTGTAATAGACGTTCAAATAGAGGTGATTTCTGAATTACGTCATTTTTGGCTTCTTTCAGTTGGACGAAGACGAACTTGAAGAAGGCAGCGGCGCCTTGCGTCATCAGCCGGAGCCGTTGCGTCACAAACGTGACGTCACCAAAGACTGTGACGAGGAAGAGGAGGAGGAAGACGATGACGCATTTCTGACGTCACGGAACGAAACATCGCCATTGCCAAGGAGCTGCTGTCGAAGATCTTTGGTGAGATACTAGTACTAAGAAAGTAGAGTGGAACTCGGAAACTAGAAGTCAGAAATGTCCAGATGTCTTACTGTAATACTGAGGGACGAGCCTTGTGCTAAATGTCGGTTAGAGGAATGAATCCAGTCAACTATGGTAACCAAATCCCTATGCACATAAAAATATTATCAACTATATAGATACGACGATAATTAAGGATCAATGACTTGCCTCGAGGTGTTTACTGCGACAAACGCCTGGCTAGTAACCTACAACTACTAAATAAACCAACGAGTGAGCGCAGCGAATGTCATTTGACTGACACGTCTGTGTGAAACTTGTCTTCACTTAGTTTCATCCAACTCTCTAGTGTCACTGACGAAAGGTAGTGGATAACACCTGAAACGTCTGACCGTTTCCAAAATCATGTTCAGTTGGTTGAGTAACTGTTTCAAGTTTGGCGTATCTTATTACCTGGATGTCTAACCTTCATCGACGTGACACGTCTGTGGTTTTCAGATTGTATCCTTCAAGGACATTGGCTGGGACGGTTGGGTGATGGAACCGGAGGAGTTTGACGCGCACTACTGCCTGGGCCAGTGCGCCAGCTACAACCTGCCCGGGCCACACGCCGCCATCATGGACCACGTGGTTAGTCCTACTCACAGTGACAATGACGTACTGGTTCTAACTGCATAGCATAAAAAAAAAAACTTCGTAAACTTCGAATTCTGTTTTACCCTACGGCCATGGAGGGGAGGCAGGCTGCGGAAGGTTATTTCTTTCCCTCCATGGCCAGTCAAACCCTAATGCGGTCAAACTTCCCTGGCAAACATTCTCCTATATGTAGCTAGCCGCCCTTCGTCGTAACACACCGGCTTCGCAGGCTGGCGGCGCGGAGGCAGCTATCTATATCACACCGAACGATTTGTTCCACTCAATCTTTGCATATTTAATTGCAGTTGTTTAAAGCTTTCTGGTGATGCCCAACTGTGCTTGGTGGCAACGAGTTTCCACTCAACGATATTTCTTGGGAAATACGAGTTTTTGAACACCTCTGATATTTGAAAGCATGAACGTTTCTTGTTTTTTTCTGGTGGTAGTATGGTAGATTATAGAGACTAACTTTCCTTACATCTTTTCCCCAGGTTTCTCCCGTGTACCAGATGAAGCCGTGCTGCGTGCCTGTCCCGGGGCAGATGCGCGACCTGCTCATCCGATACAGCTTCGACGGCGGCAAAACCATTTCCACTCAGCTCGTCCCCAACATCATCGTCAACTCATGCGGCTGCCTCTAGGGCGTTTCAGCTAGCCTCTACCAGGCTTCGGGAGACGGCTGGAAAGAGTAGAAAGTGGGCAGAGAGATAACATGCCGAGGGAGTTGGTCCGCTCACCTCACCAGTCCCATAGCTAGGGAGTACATTTTGCCCACTTTCTACTCTTTCCAGCGGTCTCCCGAACTCTGGTAGAGGCTACGTTTCAGCCTGAAACCCAGGCTTTTGACAGGGTCTACACAGGCTACATCTACATTTAAATACAGAGCAGATCTTCTTGTGATTATACGACAGTATCAAATCGGCATGGCAATGTCATGGCAGTGCAGTATCCAGTATGTTTGGCTGGCAAAAAAAAAGGAAGATACCAGCACAAAGAAAATAAAAACTCATGAACAACTTTTTAAAAAATTAGCCAAAGCCTTCACCTCTGCTTAGACAGTATACATATGCCAGCTCTTGGGCAATAGGGCCGATATGCCCCGGAGAAAATTTACAATTTATATAATACAAATGTACATACATCCTAAGTGTTCTGTATTTCTTGCGCCCTTTCCATGCAATATATGTTTCAATTGTGAATTGATGACCGAAAAGATGACCGAGGAAAGAGAGGACTCTGGGCACTGGGGTGTGTTCCCACCTTCTGATGTTGTTTAATCACGTGATACAACATCGTAGGGCGGGGCACATCCCAGGGTGCCATGGGAACAACCGAACTGCATGCTGGGATGTGTTCGACAGCCGAACGGCATGCTGGGACAAGTAAAAAGTTGAGCCGAAATTTATATCTTTTTTTTTGCAGGTACACCTTCTTACTAAGACTCTTTGCGTTAAATTCCCTTGATGAACTTTGGGAAATCCCGACAATCATATTTCTAGGTAGGAGGAAAGAACCATCATTTTCTCTGACGATTGACCAGATTGGTCATAACAATGTAGATGAAATGTATCGACTGTATGCTACATTCTCATGGCTCGCCAGACTTTATTACCTACCTAAATGTTGTGGCGTATATGACAAGAAAATGTTAGGTGAAAAGCTTTGCTAAAACAAGAAAATTCCAAATACCTAGTATACTGCACCTTGGATACCCACCACCAAGCATATTGCAAAAACACATTAAAGCGTCTTTTAATGCCAGTATCATTTCACAAATTTATCTCTTTAATAATGTATTAGATTTGAAAACTGCATCTAAAGTGTTATTCTATGTACATGTAGTAGTATTATTGGTATGATTTGTTCTCCAAAACTTGATCTCAATAAACCTTTCATAGGAAAACTGTCATTCAACATGGCAGTCAATCTAATATATTGTGGTTTTGTCTGTCTTGTGCATTTTTATTCAACATTATCTCAACACTCATTGCTTATTTTAGAAATACTGGTATTTCCCAGGGTTCTTCAAATGTAGTCTCCACCAGACTTTTGCAGGCTGCATCAATAGTAGAAATCAGACTGAAACAATGTTGCTGGCCAGCTATAGTATTACAGGCAAGCTGGACCCTCTATGGCCGGCCAACTCCCCTGGCCAGCTACATTCTGTTCAGGCGAATTTCTACTATTTATCCAGCCCGCAGAAGAGTCTGGTGCAGACTACTCCAAAACCGTCAGAATAGGTTTATTGCTGTTTTTTCCTGACCATTACCAAGTTGCATGTAAACCTCTACAATATATCATGTACACAATACACTGGGTGTGAAAGAACAACAGACAACAGAATTGGAGTTGTGCGTAAGCTGTTTAATACAGCACAAAAGTCTCTCCTACAGAATAACTTAGGACGCCTTCACTTACTCCTTACGTATTATAGTAAAAGATGAAATAAATAAAAAAAGTTGGCTGAAGTCTTCATTGACTCGACGTTTAGCAATGTGTTTATGTCACAAACAACAATGGTCCCTTATAGAAATGCAACATGTAACTACGAGACGGTCAAAATCACTGTACACAATGGTCTTCTGGATGTGCCTTACCAAGTCAGACTCGAGATATATATCGTTCAGCCATCTTAATTACACTTCTTTGAAAATACACACCAATATCATGGGTGCTTACAGTGCTAAAAAACATCAAGAACAAAACATTAAACCCCAAACACTTACATAAACCCCCATGCCATAAACTTTACTTTCATCTGTCCAGCATTCAGTCTTAGCTACAGGAGTTCTCGTCCAAAATGTAGTAGTGTCTTTGCTTCCTTACTGGTTACTTCGTTTTTCAGAGAGAAGATCTGGCACTGGCTTTAACTTCTAAAATATCTCTTAACTGTACAAGCTTCATGTGGTGTTTTTTCCTCTCAAGAATATGCCTAAATACATCATATACTTTCCTACAAGGTACCAACACCACCGAGCACGAGATATCTGGTACGTTATTATCATTATTGCTGAGAATCGATTGATCGTCTCATATCAGGAATGTCCACGAGGTGAGTGAGCTCTACTGGTACTGGTAGCCCGTGTAGCCGGTCGTGTTGCTCATATTCTGGAAGGGCTGTACGACTTGGGACATCAGCGATGGAACCCCGCCGCCATTCATAGCCGGCATCGCGCCGAACTGTTGCCCACCGGACGCCCCGAAACCACCCTTCTGGCCGCCCGCGGCACCGCCAAACTGGCTACCAGCCCCCCTACTGTTCCCCCCCTGGCCGCCGAACCCCCCGGCGCGATTGCCACCCCCTAACCCCCCACGGGAGCTCCCCCCGCCCCCCTTACTACCCCAGCCGCTGCCCCTGTCCCCCCGGCTGCCAGCAAAATCCCTCCCCCCTCGGTCGTCCCTCCCACCGGCGGGCCGGTACCGTCGGCGATCTGCAATGAGAGAACATTGCAAGGCATTGAGAACTACGGGAATTCTCTAATACCGCCAGCGCCTGCCACCTGTACAAGGAGACACGAAAGCCAGAGGTAAGATTTTTGAGACACAGTTAAGAAAAGACCTCACCACCTCACACCTCCATAGCCACCAAAGCGTTACACTAGTGACTACATAAGTAACTAAAAGCGTGATCAACAAAATGTTTAGCTTATACTGAATAAAATTAGAGGTAACAAAATAAAAAAGAGCTTCAAAAGCAAAATCTAGAATAAGAAAAAAATTTCTTTGCATTAAGGAATTGAACTATGCTCTGAGTGAATTCATCAGCAGAAATAAAAAAGTTACATATTATTGTTTATTTTTGTACAAACCAGGTATAAAACCAAAATCAATTTGTTGTAAATGGTGAAGTGAATTTGCAGGGGAAATGAGAAACATTGAAGGATCAAATCAAAATCTTTATTTAATACCAACTTAGCAGACATGCTGATTGTCATCTGAATTTCGTTGAAAATTTACAGATAAGACTAAAAGCATACCCTTGTCCTGCTGTGCGCAACATGTCGCTTGGCACATACAGTGCCATCTATATAGCACCCTGTATAGGTACGGTTTGGGGGTATTTCTCGTGCAACGCTTCACACCGCATCAAAACGCAACGAATGTGGAAGTAACTATGCCACTGCAGGGCAAAAAAATTTGGGGGTCTATGATCTAATTAAGACATGAAATTATTTAAAAAAATTGTGCCAGGAATGCCAGCAGGACAAGGGTTAACATTTCCATAATTAAAAAATTACAAGGATTAATTAATAAATGGACATGAACCCACCTCCTCTGCCTCCCCCGAAGCTGTTCCTTGCAGCCTGCACCATCTCCAGCAGACGGGGGTTGACTTGCTGCTGAGCCTCCTGCAGCACTGACACCAGGTCTTTCGTCTGCTTCAGGTTGCTCGGCGTGAAGAAGGTGTACGCCGTGCCGGTCCGGTCGCTTCGTGCCGTCCGTCCGATCCGGTGGACGTAGTCCTCGGCCGAGTTGGGGTAGTCAAAGTTTATGACAAACTTGATGTCTGACACGTCTGCAGAGTCGTTACATATGTGTGTTGTTTTTGGGCAAGCACACACCGTAACGGTGGATAGAGGGAGACACAGGACCCGTAAATATATAAAAACCCATGCCGGACTTAACGTGGAACATTGGGTACCCTTGGCAGAGCAACCTCTTTCTGTGGTGTCCATCATTCCCCAGGTCACAGCAAATACGGTTGCCTTTCCGTTCGAACACCATATTCCCAAGTTGACATGAAAGAAATCTGGTGCAAAAATTTGGTAACAATGCCACACAGAATCGCAGCGAACACACCATGCCAAAAACCCTTGTGACCTTATGAACACCTGAATTTCTTAAGTTCCAAACATTTTGGAAAGGTTTCTCTACTCTGGGTACTCCATATGTTTGGGTACTTACCTTACTTACACACAGGCGTAGCTGAAAAGACGGGGTTGTAGGTTAGCCAGTGCCAACAGAACTAGGTGGATGGACTCTCCGGAAATTCATTCAGACTGCTTCCATAACAAGAAGGGCCCAGGGAAAGGCTGAACCACTTCCTGGCCATCTTAATAAGAATAAAACTTTTGGAACGAAACGAGAAATTCTGGTAACGAGAGGAGAGTAAACACCAAGCTCCTGTGGCAGGATTCATTCGCGAATGGAAGGCACTTTGGTCTGAGACATTGAAACGTGATTGCGCGGGCTATCTATGGTGGAGGTAGGCTCCTTGTCTTGCGGTACCTTGTTTTTGTAATCCTTCATGTCGCGGCTGGACCACTTGACTTGGGAAAACAAGCGTCCGGGCGCAACAGTCACGAGGAGTCAAGTAAGTACACACTGTCCCAGGAGCTACCTTCACTCTCGGAGACGCACGTGTGACGACGGACAACAATCGTTCGCCGTTTTCGCGTTTGGTTTGGGGGGCTCCCGACCGAACGAGTCCCCTTCTAGCCAGGAGGTTCCGACATGACTGTGGTGAGGGAGGGCGAACGGAAAGTTGCTGCTTTTGCTCCAAATGTGGCCTGCCTAGCTGCCTAACTTCGCACTGCAGTCCACGGCTCTCGAGCGAGTCTCTTGCGTAAAGAAACTCACAGCTTTCCCCCCCACCCTTATTGTATTACTGGTTCTTGAAATAAGTGTGATTAAGAACTAAGAAGGCTGACTGAGAAATATAGAGTCTGAATTGGTAAAAAATTTGAAAAAAGTCGTATTTCCACATCAGTTAAACTTAAAGAAAACAAAATGCAGATATTGGGTGCATGTGCACCTTAGTGCACACAAAATTGGAACTGCGCACCCAATTTTTTTTGTGGGTGCACTGGTGCACCCAAGTATTTTCCTAATTGTAGTAGTATACAGGATATTCTTGGCATTTAAGTGTCAGAAAAATAATTTTTGTTTTGGTACTTGTTTAAGATTTTGAAGTTAGCTCCCATTTCAGATTCAAGCTCAGAAGAGGACCTGTTAGATCTGTAATTAGGTTTTGATTTACATGGTGCACAAAAATAAAACATTTTGTGCACCCAATTTTTTTAGGTTGGGTGCACCAGTTTTCCCAAAACTGAATTTCTTGCCCTGTCACCCCACCTTGCCTTTTCTAGAAGCTAAGATAGCAGCAATTGTGTGTGGCTGGACTGCAGCGTTTTCCTACATTGCACATTGGAGTCCACGTAACACTGCTCGCTCCCCTCCTCGTAGGCAACCAAGATGTAGTCATGCCGGGCAATCCTCCCGCATATCTACAGAAAGGGAAACTCAAGAGAAAGCCAAATGTGAGTCAAATAGTTCCCCAAACCGATCTCTTCAAAAACGTTCCTTCTTCTCTAGAAGGTTTAAACTTAGTTTAAGGCAAGCGTATTTCAATCAAAAACAGCCCCAAAGATGCTCACAGAAATTTCAGACCAGTGCCAACAACTTTTTTTGAGAAAAACTGGTCACTACAAATTTGGAAAGACAAAACAAGCAATTAACAACATAGAGGGAAACAGTACATGGAAACATTTAATAAGCATTTCGTAAATGACTTTCCAAATCATAAGTGACCTGTCTCTTCTGGACAAACTAAGACAACACAAGACGCTACACCGGATCATTCCATAAGGAACACAACAAGAGGAAAAGACGGAAGAACAAGAAAAAGGAATTTGCTACCGACCTAAACCTCGAGATGCAACATCAGTGGCCACTAGGATGGGCGCCTTTCCAGATCGGAATTCTGTATAAAAAAAATGACAGAAAAAATGTAGTTCAATGATTACAAAATATTCTGACTGAAAACTGATCTTAAAATTTGTATCTTAACAACTGCCCTTTGGTGTAACTTCGCAGGCAATGTCTTGTTACACCTAGCCCTTGAAGTTGAACACTTAACTCTACCTACCTACCTGGGCCCTAACTCTAGACATTGTTTAAAGCTATCTAATGATAATGCCCCTACTATACTTGGTGACAGCGATTTGATTACTGAATAACGTTACTGCATTTAGTTAGAAGTTATTTGTAATAAAACTTGGACTTAAAACGATGGAATTAAACAGAGGAAATAGAAGCTGCTCATTTAAATTAGTTCTTTTCTTGGTTGTACTTGGCATTTCATATTTGCAACCCAAACGTATTAGACACTTACGGTTCAGAACCCAATCTCTCTCTGGCTGAGACTTGTCTCCATGTATACACATTGCAGGCCAGCTGGAAAGAAAAATAATTTCATTTAGCTATAATGTAAATAACTCCAATGATGGTCTAACTTTCACAAGTGACTCAAGTGACAACTTTGGAAAAGTCAGAAACTTTTCATGTCTACATTTTTTTAACGGCTCTTGGTGGCAAATGTGCAGATGTTGGCACATTGGCACATCAAATCCGTAACTGTGTTTTTGACACACATTTAGACAGATAACTCTACCGTACAGGGCATGCATACAGTATCGAACCCGGGACCTATTGGTTCCAAATCCAACACTAACCATTAGTGCTGCATACCTAAACCCACATTTAGGTTCAGGTCCGGATTCAAGTCCAGAGGTTTAGGTTCAGTTCCGGACTTGTAAGTCCGAACCTAAACCCACAGCATATACAAAATTGCATGTTGGCAACCTTGCAATGTTGTCTGGGTGAAACTTTGGCCACATAACATGGAGGCCGACACTTTACAATGCCCAATGGCAATGTTTTTTTCATTTTGCAGCAAAGATTTTGCAATCTACGGAAGGTTTGAGGTGGTTTGAAATAAAAGGTGGTATGTGAAATGGTCTTTTATGGTAATAAGTCCGGACTCGGTTCTTGACTTTTAGGTTTTTTTGGACTTGAACCTAAACATTATTACAAGTCCTGATCCAAGTCCAGTGAACCGGTATGCAGCCCTACTAACCATTGTGCCACCGGTGTCTAGGTTATGTCAAAAATAAATACATGATATATATAGAGAAGCTCTTCCGATTTGGGGTTTTAAACATGTGGTTGAAACTTTGCAACAACATTCTCATGAGACTAAAATGTACCCACCCATCTTTGCGCATGCGGCGTGTCAGGTCGTCCACCCTGCGTTTGGTCTCCACGAAGATGATGGTTTTGTTCTCCTTCTCCCCCATGATCTCCTCCAGCAGACGACTCAACCTGGAACCAAACGTTTTTTTAACATCTCATTGAAGTAAAAAACAATGCTCTAAATACTAACAGTTTAGCAGTATTGTAACTGCAAAATCAACAGGATTCTTAGACAAATTTCCCACATTTTGAGAGGCAAATCATGGAGTTGAGAGTGGTTGTTGGCAGTCCTATGGATATTTTTATGTATTTACCAGAGACTTTTGTCAATTTTGTCCATCAAGGTAGAAGGATTGGTTTAAACATTTTTCCGTCACAGGCCTCAAAGTTCCTACACTTGACAGAAAAACAAGAGCTTGTGAGCACTATATACAAAAGCATGTCAGTTGAACGTACTGCACCTGGGTGAAACCATGATTTTTCACGGTTTTCGTTGGATGTTTGGTCACCGTTGCATTAGAATAGAATTTCGCCTGTTGCAGAGGATATCTTTTCTGATATAATATTTTGAAACTACAGACGGGATGTAGACCTTATATGCGCGAATACGATCTTACAGGAGACATTCTGCGGTAGTTCTATGCACAATACATTACGAGTTTCATGCAGGAGCAGTACGTTCTGCCGTCAAGCTACTGTATACAAGTATACAAAATCACCAGAATTCTTAGATACCATCCAATTCTTCACAACACAAAATGTTAAGAGACTAGAGCACTCTTTTTCAGCATCACTTATGAACTTAAAGAGCTATTCAACACTATATAAAAAGGTTGGCTTACTTGTTGTCCTTCTCGTGTTCTTGCACCACATCCACAATCTGCAGGATGTTGTGGTTGGCTGAGAGCTGCAGGGCGCCGATGTTGATCTGTGTGTACTCCTTCAGGAACTCTTCAGCTAGCTGCCGCACCTCCTTGGGCCAGGTGGCACTGTACATCAGGGTCTGACGGTCAGGCTGGGGAAGGGACAGCAGGGGATGTTACACATGGGGCATTTCAATCATTTATCTAGGATATGCCAAAAAAACGTTGCTCAAGCAACTGGATATGATTTTGGTCAAAAATGTGACATTTTGTTACCTGGATGTCTAACATTCATTTATTACCTGGATGTCTAACATTTATTGCTGAAACAAGAACAGTGCAGCCAAAGAATTTTTACAAGTGGTACTTAAAAGCAAACTGTTTCTAATTGTTGTACAACACACTTGGAACGACCAATTATTTAAACTCGTTCACAATAAGTTAACATGTTCAGTTCACTGTTACGTCTTGTATGTTCAGTTGTATGAGAACTTGCGTGTTTCATCAACTTGTTTTTGTGTGGTTGATGTTGTTCCTTACCCTGATCTGTTCGATGATCTTCCTGATCTGGGGTTCGAAGCCCATGTCCAGCATGCGGTCTGCCTCGTCCAGCACCAGGTACGTGCAGCGCCGCATGTTCGTCTTTCCCGCCTCCAAGAAGTCGATCAGGCGCCCCGGGGTGGCGATGCAGACCTCCACACCTGTGAGACACAAGATTAGAGACAAGGTGTTACAGTATGTGCCAGATAAATTGGCTATGTATTCACGATATAGCAGCTAGAAGCAGAACTCAAGTCAGAAGTTCTGAGGAAGGTGCCTGATATGTATCAAAACATAAGTAGCTGAGAGGCAAGAAAACCCCAATATCAAAGGTCTGCACAAGCTTTGGCGGCAGAAAGTTTTTACTTCTTTGTTGGGTGAGTATTCTGTTGTTTGCCAATTTTAATATTGTTTGAAAAGATAAAGGATGAATCCCGTTTTTTTAGGGAAGAAACTATGAGAAAATGGGGGAAATATCGTGCAAATATTTCATTGTAAAGCTGTGCAGTTATAGACATATACAAGTTAAAAGAAAATACTGTAATTCACAATTTTTTGCGGTACTTTTATGTTCGTGGTTTTCACAGTCACTTATGTTACTGCGAACAAATAACTTGTCTGTTTTCTGCAACCTGCTAACAAATTGTTCCAAGAACATGTCAACTTTTCTCAGACCACTATCTCTTGGTACCGCGTACATGAAGTGAATTACAGTATTCTGTCTGGCCTACAACTTAAACATAAGTTTCCAATTTATCTGCTTGCAGTCGGGTGCCACGGAGGACTGGACTGGTGGTAAACTTAACGGCACCCTACTCACCCCTCTCGAGATCTCGAATCTGTGGTCCTTTAGGAGAACCACCGAACACACACGTGTTTTTTATCCGGGAACTTCTGCCAAACTTAGAGGCCTCCTGCTGAACTTGCTGCGCTAATTCCCGGGTCGGCGTTAGAACCAAGCACTGAAGAGATATCAGAACAGGAGAGAAAAACCCAAACAGTCAGATTAAGCTATAGAAGCACGGCACCCAGGCGTTGGGAGTGGTGCTTACCACGTTCCAAGTCTCGGAGCTGAGGGCCTTTCGGCGCACCTCCGTACACACACGTGTTCTTGATGCGAGAGGAGCGTCCGAACTGGACGGCCACCTCCTGGACTTGCTGGGCCAGCTCGCGTGTCGGGCACAGCACAACACACTGCGTGTGCGACACAGATTAACACAGCTATCATCCAGAGTTACAGATTAACATAGCCAGGGCTCGAAATACTGGATGCATGTGCACCCAAATTTGGTGCTGTGCACCCAATTTTTTCTGAGTATACCCAAATATTTTCATTTTCATATTAGTTTTTGATGACATTCTACATGTACCTATTTTATCTTACATGGTTCACCCCAAAAAAATTATTGTGCACCTAATTTTCTAGGTTGGGTGCACCAGTGCACCTATTCCTAAAAATGAATTTCGAGCCCTGGATTAACATAGCTGTAATCTGCATTACAGATTAACATAGCTGTAATCTGTGTTACAGATTACTAACATAGCTATAATCTGTCACTATCTGAGTATAGCATGTTAATTCTCTACAGGGCCAACTAGGCCTTTCTTCCAACATTTTTTCTTTAATTTTACTCTCAGACCGTGTTACTACATGTCACAGTAATCTAAAAGAAAGACAACATAGGGTAGATGTAGATACACATTGCAGATTTTATATAACAACTCTACCTCAGTACTAAAACGACATTGCCATGTTTAAGGATGCACAAACATTGAAATCTACATTTGCTTTACATGGTGACAAGTTTTCAGAGAGATTCAGAGGGAAGTAAAAGTACTCACGATTGGACCATCCCCACGTTCCAGGTAGGGCTGGTGGTTGATGTGAACTATGGCTGGCAACATGTACTGGAAAAAAAAACAGGATCAAATTTTAGAACTGAACCTATTCATACCCGCATTTTTGAAGACCAAAATCATGGTTCATATTTCTCCTTAGAAGTAAATGACCAAAGCAGTGTTCTAGCCATGCTGAAATTTGTTACCATCATGTCAGTTATGTTTGATATGATCATCTAAAATACCCTTTGCTGCATTTTGATGGGCAAATTTTGCAGGTAGACTTAGTTTTAGTTTAGGTAGTCTTTACATGCCAATTTTCGTCCATATGAGTGGTAAACTTCTGTCAAATGATGGAAAGACTAGGCATTGGCTAGAACACTGTCATAGATGCAGAGTATTGAATGTGTCTGGAATGCGTAGAAGTTAAAGAGAACGTACAGCGAGAGTTTTCCCTGAGCCTGTCTGTGCGATGCCCACAATGTCTCGGCCCTGTAGCGCCACAGGCCACCCCTGTGCCTGGATGGGCGTCGGCTTCTCAAAGTTAGCGTTCCTGATCTCATCCATTACATAGTCTGCAACAAGAACGATAAAAAATTCACTGGAGAGAACATAAGACTCACACAAACACACACACTCACTATCCGGTTTAGCGTCTGTTGTTCCCATCTTCTGAACGTTAGATGTGCTTGAACACCAAACAAATACATGCAAATCTGGAGGCAGTTATGATACTCTGATATGTGATTATGTGTTACAAGTTTCATTGTAATTTACTGTTCAGTTTGAAATTTTACTTGAGTGACACGATGAACATATCTTTGTGTGCCATATTTGCTTTGACTGTGAACTTGAAAATCCAGTCCTACAGCAAAACTAAATCCTGATTGAAAATAAATGGATTTACTGCATTTACCCATGTAATGAACCTAGATTTGACCAGTCTTTTTTTACAAGCAACCTCAGTAAAGAAGAGTTGCTATTTTTTAATGATGTTCAACAAACAGAAATGAAGTGTTACCTGGAAAAGAGGCGTAGTGGAACTCTACGACAGGTTTTGGAACATTGTGGCCTCGAACAGTGATCTCTCTTTCACCTCGGAACTGCTCAACTTGAGCCTGAAGGGAAAAATCAAGAAAACTTTAAATTCTGAGAAAAACACAACGAAGGCTACATAACAGACAACTCTAATCGTTAAAGAGCTCATACTTCACACATTCATTATTGTCTTTAATGAATATGCTAGGGAGCAAATTAATAGTGAAGCGGGAACTATGCAGATTTACATAACAAGAAACCCTAGCCATTGTCTGCATAAAGGGAAGGAAAAATCTACATAGTTAAAAATGATACTGTAATTCCTGATTATTTCACGGTACTAGTACTAATAATTTTTTTTATCTTCGTGGTTTAAGCAGTCACTTCTGTACTGCAAACTTATCACTACCATCAAAAAATAATTTGGTGACTTTCTTTTTTCTGCACCTTAACACCTTTATTTTTCTCAGGCCATGAACTTTTGCTTCCACGAACATTAAGTGAATTGCAGTAGTGTCTTTCTTTTTTATGTTTTACCAGCCGCTGACAAAGTGAATTACTTACCATTGTAAAGTTGGTGATGTTGGGATGTTCCTGGTAGAAGTTCCTCTCGAAGGGCACCAGTTTGGACAGATCCCACTTGGGTTTGCGGAGCCTCTCGCCCGGCTGGGAGTCCTTCCACCCGTTTCTGGACCCCCCAAAGCCGCCCCCGCCGGACCCGTAACCCCCTCTACCTCCACGGTCACCCCCGCGGCCGCCATAACTGCTGCCACCACCACCATATCTGGGCAAAAGAAGAAATTATATGAGCATAAAGTTATTAAGCCAAGTGTCATAATGGTAGGGCATTCGGCATGGAACCCATGGGTCCTGGGTTTGATTCTACCTACTTGCCCCGATGATCATGTTGTGCCCCTTCAGAAAGGCACTTTATACAATTTTTCCTCACTTCATTCAGGTGAAAATGAGGGTATCAAAATGAGTACCTAGCTTTGGGTAGGGATGTCCCTGAGACAGGACATAAAATGGAGGTCAGTCCCCAGAATTTCTTTTCAAGAATCCTTGAACGTCTAGATATTTATGTCATTTGTGTCAACCTTGGATGGAATAACTCCTGATGCCTCTTTAAAATTAAAATTAACTGCATTTATTTTAAACTTCATTTCTTATTCAATGTGGTTGTCTTACTCTTTGTCTTAGGGTACCTTGTGGAATGATTAGTGATGAGTCAGATGACAAAAATGGTGGTAAAAACAGCTTGAAAATCCCCCCAATTTACTAGTGTTATACAGGACCAAAAACCTATATATTCTTGTTATTTCCAATCTTGGCATTTCCTAAATATCATAAGGAATATCCCTTGAGAAATTGAAGGCGTTAACACAAGCCAAAAGACATAAAATAATGTCCAGACATGTTACCCCAATTTTGGGGACTCACACAAAGGATTGACAACTGATGCCCATTCCCTTGTAGACAATTAACATTTTCTTACACACTAACGTACAATTATATCACCATTTGAAGTTAGAACAATACAATAAGACCTGCGTGATCCGATATCTATGAAAAATTCGGCCGGAAAATACCGAAATGTCCTTTTTTGACAGGATTTAAGAAATGTGGTGACGTCACACGGCATACCAGGAAAGGAAAAAGCCGCACCTGGATTCTCCATGGCGTCATTCGATCCGTCACAAAAGACTCAAGATTTCTCTCGATTTCTCACGTTTTTCCGTCAGAATTTCCTTCAAAATTTCTCTAAAACATCCTTAGGAACCCACTCTATAATAGGACGTCAGTTTTGGTGTCTGATTTAGGGTAGATTGCGAGAAATTTGAGGGAGAGCTACACAGGAAATGGGAAGCCATTGTTGCATAAGCCAAGTCATGTCACCCGGCGTGGTCGCGCGGTGGAAAAAATGTAAAAACTTCGAATTTCTTACCCTCTCCTGTCCCCACGGTCGAAAGAACGAGACATCGCGTCGTCACAAAGTAGTCGGTACGAAAGAGAAGTAGTTTTAGGCAGTACTTTTCTGAAATTTGAGGAAATTTTCGACACTCCTGCAGCCCGAATGCCGGTCAGAATGAATGAAGCACAGGCAGTTAACGCCGGCATCGTGTCTTATATATCCCTCCGCGCCTCGTGCGTCACTGCCCTAAAAACCGCTCCGATTTCTTCCAAAAGCCTACAAACGTTTTACCTATTCCAAGAAGTACACCGCGGCTTAAGCATAATTTATGACTTAATAAAAAGATCGATTGTCGCTATCTTCGCTCATTGTCAAACCCAAATGCGGATGGTGCTATTTTTGTCTGGCGAAATAATCTATACCAAATACGGTGCGGTTTGGTTCAGTGACGTCATGCATGATTCACGTGCGTTGCCGCGAGACTGACCGAGCAACAGCGCCGCCTGGCGAGATTTGTTCAAAGTGCAGCCAACAGAACCAGTTGTCTCGTGACAGGAACTATGCTACACAATGGCTGCCACTCAGAATCAGATGTTTGTTGTTTTGTCTTTGTTTGCGCTCGTTTTGCAGGTAAGTGTACCTTCATGAGCTCTACCCACACAAATTTTCCACCAAAGGATAACACAAACTCATTCAGAAGTATTAAAAACTGGAGAAAAGTTAGCTTGTTTTGGAAAAAACAACATTGTTTTGATATGGGGGAGGGTCTCTTTACATTACTTCCTGCTTTCTTATCTAAGATCAAGACGTATTGAATAAGTTATATGTCTAGGTTAATGTCGTATGGCATATCACCATGCATCTGTACTTTAGGGTTTTCAACTGTTTCCCTACCTCTGCGAATTCCTCAAAAAAACCCACAAATACCCACAAAAACTTATTTGAAGAATTTAAAACATACTTATAAGGGTATGAGAGCTGTTTCCTGTTCAATAGATTGGTTGTCATACTCACATCATGTGATACAGGATTATCTTTGACTGCACTTGTATTCAAAATCATCTCATGCCATCATGGTACAATGTATCTGTATACAGTATAGCCTGTATAACTGCCCTTCGGCGTAACACACCAGCTTCTGTATCTGTATAGCCTGTATAACTGCCCTTCGGCGTTACACACCAGCTTCTGTATAGCCGGTATAACCACCCTTCGGCGTAACACACCAGCTTCTGTATCTGTATAGCCGGTATAACCGCCCTTCGGCATAACACACCAGCTTCTGTATCTGTATAGCCGGCATAACCGCCCTTTGGCATAACACACCAGTTTTACAGGCACGCGGCGCAGCGACAGCTAGCTACATTACACGGATCGACTTGTTACACCTAGCCTTTTAACATCTAACTCCAGACATTGTTTAAAGCTATCTATCATCATAAAGTTTCTTCATATCTCTCTCCAGGGCCAAAAGGTTGACAGTCGCAGCTTCTCCATCGACTATGACAACAACACGTTCCTGAAGGATGGTGAGCCGTTTCGCTACATCTCCGGCAGCATCCACTATTCCCGCGTCCCCCGCAGCTACTGGCAGGACAGACTCAACAAGATGTACGCTGCCGGACTCAACGCTATACAGACGTAAGTCAGAACTGTGTAGAAAAGCTCTTTCTTTTTTTACACAGTGCAACACAATGTTAGTCTCTTCACAATTCTGGTTTGGTTTTCCTTTAATGTCCACGATCATGATAATGATCATTCCAGCATACTTGTTTTCACAAGTGAAGTGAGGAAAGTCGTGCATATTAAAGATCAGTGACATGGCAGGATTCGAACCCAGGACCTCTTGGTTCAAAGCCGAATGATCTGCTGTTACACCACATGACCCCACATTGGAAGGGTTGGTTCTAGCAGCTCTTCCACTGGTCAGGCCCCTAGCCTGCCTACATCATGTTTCTACAAGCCCTTCCAATACACTTATGGCCACTGCTGGAAGCTTGATGACCAACACCACAGGAGAATTTTGAACAATCTTAACCCATTGAACCTGCATGAACGATACTGTAACATTTATACAAAATAAAAAATTAGTTTTTACAAGAACTTAAGGAAGCTGTCAAAATCTGTGATTTTGTTCGTCATGTTTTTGTGTGTTTATTACAGTTATGTACCATGGAACCTCCACGAGCCAAAGCCAGGGAAGTACGACTTCACGGGAAATAACGACATCGAAGCCTTCCTGAAACTAGCGAACGACACGGGTCTACTGGTCATCCTGCGTCCTGGTCCCTACATCTGTGCGGAATGGGACATGGTGGGTGCAGTGTCATCAGTCTACCAGACTCTTTTGCAGGTTGAATAAATACATGTGGTAGAAATCAGCCTAAAAAGAATGTAGCTGGCCAGTTTTGCAGGCAAACTGGACCCTCTATGGCCGGCTAACTCCCCTGGCCAGCTACATTCTTTTTAGGCTGATTTCTACTATTCATTTAGCCTGCAAAAGACTCTAATGGAGACTTAGGAAAAAAGGCCCTGCCTTGTTGGGTAGTCTACAGACTCGTTTTGTGTACTTTTGGGGTGTAGCCCCGTGGGACCCCCTGTCCCCCCTTCATCTGCCACAATTTTTTTGTGAATGGCTGGGGACACAGATTTTGTAAACTGGGTCAGACAGAAGACAGAACATTTTTTCTTGGTGAGAACCTCGATCTTAAAAAGAGCACTGCAGATGAAATAAAGATGAAGTTAATAACTGTAGTTTTTATCTGCAGGGAGGCCTTCCCTCCTGGCTGATGAAGGACAACTCCTCTATCGTACTGAGGTCATCTGATCCTGGTAAGCACTTATTTTATTCATCCTTTCTTACCTGCATCTAACTCTAAAGAATTCCTAAATCAACAGACATTTTATCCATCTGGTAATCTCTTCTCACTTTCAAATGAAAGCTCATCTGTGTTTCATAGTTGTACAATTTAAGCTTTGTTCCAACACAAATTTTCAGTGGATCTCGACACCTTCATTTTCATTGATCCTTTCTTACATGCACCTAACTCTATAGAATCCTAAATCAACAGACATATTATACCCTATGTGGTACCAGCCTGGCTGCTGCCTGAAAGTCAGAGTAACAGTTATATTTCCACAAAATCTGTTTATTTGGAGTGTGTGCTTTTAAAAAAACTACCCTGGCACTGCCATCTGTTTAGAAACAGGGCTCCTTTTAATTTGCACTCACTACTTTGGGTTTTAAGGAGCCTGTTACAAAATAGATGGCACCCAGGCTACTTAAAAAGAGCCTTTCACATCTTAAGTTTGTATTTTTCCTGCCAATTGTGTGTTGTGGATTGTGGCTTGTAACATGCCTTATCCCTTCCCCAGCTTACCTAGACCCAGTTGACACCTACATGGCCCAGCTGCTCCCCAGGATAAAGCCTTACCTCTATAACAACGGGGGACCCATCATTACTGTACAGGTAACACTGGGGTCTATCTAATCTCCAAGCAGATCATTCACTGTCAAGGCAGTATCCATTGGCCAGAGGAGTGTCCATAAGCCAGAGGAGTGTACATTAGCCTTCGGTGGCCATACAAACTCCTCTGGCTAATGGATACTGTCTTGCCACCGAAAGGAATCTGCTTGGAGATTAGGGTCTATCTACAATGTACATGTATTTAATAGTATCTGTTCAGTACTCTGACAATTGTGGCCTGTGGCGTGAGGATTCTAAAAAAATTAAGTAAATAGCAAATATTAATTGAAACAGCCAAACAGTTTGTGATAAGGCTGAAAAGTGACTGCTATTTACCTCCAAGAATTGGGCAGGCCCATGTATTGGGCCAGCCCCGATCTGAAACAGTTACTGTTGGTTGATAGTGCTGTGTTTAGGCCACACCAATTTAATTTCTTGGTTAACGGATTCGCCCCTTCGTTTTTTTCTGATTTGAAAATAAAAATAAAAATCCAGAATCAACTGCAAAATGCTCATATTTTGCCCTGAACAGTTGAAAACAGTCCTTTTCATCCTAGTTGTTACAGTTATTCCATCTTTCAATGCAGTGGTATTATTAAAAGTTCAAAATTCATTGTTTAAATTTTAAACCAGTCTGGTGTGTTGACTTAATGGCTCCTTTTGTACCATTTTGGGCCATAATAGGATGCCTAGGCCTGTTTTTATTTATTTTTTTTTTCGCCCGCCCGCTCCATTATTTTTCTAGAAAAATCCGTTAACCAAGAAATTAAATTGGTGTGGCCTTATGTACATATGTGTGTGGGTAGGGGTACATGTATTCACAAAGGATGTTTTCACTGACATCTGCGTTTACCTTTAGTGTAGCCTTTTATTTAGTTCCAGACCTGTATAATGCACAAAAGACTCAAGACTGAGGCATGTTCTTTTTTTTAGGTTGAGAATGAGTATGGCAGTTTCTACACCTGTGACTACGACTACCTGCGGCACCTGCGGCAGGTGTTTATTCAGCACCTGGGACCAGACGTGGTCCTGTTCACCACAGACGGCTGGTGGGACGGAGTCCTCAAGTGTGGGACTATCGACGGACTGTACACCACTGTGGACTTTGGACCAGGTAACATTGGCACAACTCATGCCCATAGCCAGCATTTTGGTTGGGGCCCGTGGCTTCTTCCCACTGTTTGAGGGAACAGCTAGTGCCGTAAGCGCTTGGTTGTAATCGAACTTTCTGAAATGGATTTTACTGCATTTTTTTAGAGGATATCATTTAGGAAAAATCAGACATAACAGTTTTTATTCAATGACAAATTTAGTGAGCAGCGTTTCTACAATTCCGGCCCCCAAACCCCCCTGGCTATGGGCATGTACTACCAGCATTGCCACCAGTTTTTATAAATGTAAACTAGGCTGTGTAACAGATTAGCAATACATGTATTCTACAGGCACAGACCCTGTAGGAGCCTTCAAAGGGCAGAGAAAACACCAACCCAAAGGCCCACTGGTGAGCAGACTTTTTTCTTGTTTTGGAGTAATTTCATTCATTGAAATCAGATACAGTATACTTTTATTATTAGTATTACTAGTGTGCCAGTTATGCTTCAGTGTTCAATTTTAGGATTTTGATTTCGATCTCCTTTAGATCTGATGACAAATGTTTGTACTACAAGAGATGAAATAAAGAAGTACCATTATGGTTGTACTCATGTTGGTTGCAGGTGAACTCTGAGTTCTACACCGGTTGGTTGGACCACTGGGGACAACCTCACGCACACACAGACAAGGACAAGGTGGCAACCTACCTGGAGAAAATACTACAACTCAACGCTAGCGTCAACATGTATGCTAGACCAATATCCTTCTGTTTACAACTGTGTAATAAAATAGTAGCCTGGGTGCCATCCTATTTGTATGACAGGGCTCCTATACTCACTCCCAAACAAGCGAGTATGGGCACCCTAGGCTAGCATATCAATAGGATGGCACCCAGGCTTATAAAATAGGCCTTAGGGTGAACCAAACTGTGCAAAAAACAGCAACACATTGTCTGGCAAGCTGGCTGAAAGAAAATGCTCTTGAAAGCATCATTTCAAAAGTACAATTGCTTTGGTTACTTAGTTACTTTCAATGTACATGTAGCATGCAACAGGTTTTTAACCATCTCCCTGCTGTCAAACGTCCTAGCTAATGGTATAATTTTCTTTGTCCATACACTCAGGTACATGTTTGAGGGAGGCACCAACTTCGGCTACATGAATGGTGAGAATCATATTATTATTAAAAGTCTTACTACTTGGGACTTAAACAAAAAGCTTCTATCATATTTTTTAGCTGCCATTCCTGTTCTATATACGTAACACACTTTGTTGTAACCTGGAATCCAAAATAACATGGATGCCAGGCTAACTCAGCTGTACTGTTCTTGTCTGTAACATACATGTACTTCCAGTTTAATGTGTGTTTGAACCAGCCACAGCAGTTTTAAAAGTGACTGACTGAAATCTTGAATTCTAGTGTCATATAGTTGCCATGTTTAACACCTTGCATGTTCTTGTAACTAACTACAGTAACTGTAGTTCACTGTGTAATAATCATGCATGCTGTGTGCTTGTTCCAGGGGCAAACGGCCCCTTTAAGCCACAGCCCACCAGTTACGATTATGACGCTCCACTAATGGATAAACTCACCACTATCTCCAAATCTAGCCCTAGCATTATTAAGTTGCAATGTTTAACACCATGCATGTTATTGGAGCTAACAGTAGTTCACTGTATAATAAACATGTCCTGTGTGCTTGTTCCAGGGGCAAACGGCCCCTTTAAGCCACAGCCCACCAGTTATGATTATGACGCTCCACTAACGGATAAACTCACCACTATCTCCAAATCTAGCCCTAGCATTATTAAGTTGCAATGTTTAACACCATGCATGTTCTTGGAGCTAACAGTAGTTCACTGTATAATAAACATGTTTGTGTAATGTGTGATTGTTCCAGGGGCAAACGGCCCCTTTAAGCCACAGCCCACCAGTTATGATTATGACGCTCCACTAACGGAGGCAGGAGATCCAACCGACAAGCTAACTACTATCTCCAATGTCATTGCCAAGGTAGTGTGAGGGCCACGTCGGCAGAACATACTGCACCTGTACGAAACCCATAACCATACTGGAAATTGTACAAAACAGTTGCAAAATGAGCAAAGTAGTAGATTATTCGCCAAACCATATCCTGTGTCATTTGTTCAACCTTCATGACCACCTAGATTCCATAATGAAAGCAACTTTTTTTTTTTTGCAAAACTTCTTTTTTATTTGCATGCTGGCATCAGTTTTTCCAGAGGATATAATCAAATCAACATGGCCTAATGTATCACATGCATAACATCAGAATGTCTCATATAAGGTTGTATTCACGCATATACATGTATGATGTGTTGGAAAAGATATTGTCTACAACGTACAGTGCCATGCACAATACACTGCAGGTTTTGCGCAGGTGCAGTATGATCGAATTCTGCCGACGTGCTGCAAACATCTAATACTAGTAGTATATAAACTCCCTCCCTCACAATCCCTACTTTTTGTCAGTCTCTTCTCCTTCATGTTGTTCTAAGGTGTGGAGTTTAGCCCCTTCCAGCCTGTTCCTACTTCTTACGACTACGATGCCCCCTTGTCTGAGGCTGGAGACCCCACAGATAAGTTCTACAGTATCAGGAACCTGATCAGTAAGGTTCGAGACTGACTGCTATTTGCCTTCTCTCTTCTCTGAAAGGAAATGTGGACCCAGTACTGTGTAGTAGATTTAGAGACCTGAGGCGAAAATATTGCAATTCCTTCATTCCTCCATTCCTTTACTTCTTGCTAAGCCAAAATAAAAACAGTTACTCAAGCAACTGGATATGATTTTGAAAACGGTCAGACGTTTCAGGCAGCATCCACTACCTTTTGTCAGTGACACTGGCGAGTTGTCAGAAAGGCAAATAAGTGAAGAAAATTTTTTGGAAGTCCAAATTAAAGTAAACAAGTCAAGACAAGGATGCAAATTAGTCAAGTAGCTCCTGTTATTTCAGAACTTATTAAGTGTTGTCGGTCCTTGGGGCTGGGAGCACTAAGTCTCTTTGCTTGCTAGCTTTATTCCCTCTTGTTCTTGAACTTGAGCCTTGTTAGTTGTGGTCCTGTGTTAGGCGTCCCTGGTGAAGCCACCTTACAGCCTGTTCCTACTTCTTATGACTACGATGCCCCCTTGTCTGAAGCTGGAGACCCTACAGATAAGTTCTACAGTATCAGGAGCCTGATCAGTAAGGTTCGAGACTGACTCTTATTTTCCTTCTCTCTTCTCTCAAAGGAAATGTGGACCCAGTACTGTGTAGTAGATTTAGAGACCTGAGGCGAAAATATTGCAGTTCCTGCATTATTACTTGCTAAGCCAAAATAAAAACAGCTACTCAAGCATTACTGGATATGGTTTTGAAAACGGTCAGATGTTTCAGGCAGCATCCACTACCTTTCGTCAGTGACGCTGGAGACTTGTCAGAAAGACAGACTTATATAAGTACAAACTATTGATTCATTTGCAAGTAAGGGAAGACTTTTTTGGAAGTCCAAAAGAAAGGAAAAGTTAGACAAGTCAAGACAAGGATGCAAATTAGTCAAGTAGCTCCTGATGTTTCAGAACTTATTAAGTGTTGTCTGTCCTTGGGGCTGGGAGCACTAAGTCTCTTTGCTTGCTAGCTTTATTCCTTCTTGTACTTGAACTTGAGCCTCTTTAGTTGTGGTCCTGTGTTAGGCGTCCCTGGTGAGACCACCTTCCAGCCTGTTCCTACTTCTTACGACTACGATGCCCCCTTGTCTGAAGCTGGAGATCCCACAGATAAGTTCTACAGTATCAGGAGCCTGATCAGTAAGGTTCGACTTCTCTACTCTGACTCTTTATGCTTCTTCTTCTTAAAGGAAGTGTGGACTCTAAAATGATTGATCTATTTATTTATTTCATCCTGAAATGGCTGGGTATCCCATTCAGCTAGTAGAAGCTGCTTTCCAATTGAGCCCAGCATACATTTACATAGGACAAGACATGATTACATTTAGTCAAGCAACAAAAGGTGGACAACAGTCAAATAAAATCTGATGCGTCAAAAGAAAACTATGTTCATAAACCAAAATTCTCATTACTGTTCCAATGTCGCAACAATTTAGTCAGGAAAATTGTCCGGAAACTGAAAGCTTTCTTCTTCATCTTCAATGATTATTATTTCTGGGTCTGTGTTGCAGGAACATTGAGTTACTGAGCATTCAATTTGGTGCTGTAAGGTTTAGGGTTCTATTCCCAGGCCTGCTCCCAAACTTTTATCTACTTTGTTTTTCTTCTTTTTTATGCTATGTTAAGTATATATTGATGCCTCAGGTCTGCAAACTGGACTAAACAAATTTTGGTCTACTGAAAAACTTAAATGATTTAAGCTGGGTCCATACTTCCTTCTTTTTCACATTCTATTGTCATTTTTCTTCAATCTAATTGCTCTTTCTATGATAATAAACTGCTGCAATGGCAACTATCACAGTGACTATGATAGCATGTTCCTTGTTGAAAAAGTCTTTCTTGTCTTTCCAATTCTGAAACTTTGTTGTGTACTTTAGTTGAAAAACTGAATTGAACCATTAACATGCTATTAATAAGAACTTACTAAAGCATGGATGTATCCCTAGCATGTTAAAGGTTAACGATCAACAGAATATATAATACATGTAATCAATGGTCAACAGAATATAATTTAATATGTCTTGTTGACTTAGTAATGCCCTTTTTTCTAGATGGTTCACGTATATACTAGATGTAATTACTGTTTGTATATAAATGGTGTGATTTAAAAAAAATGTTTTTATTATGATTTGGAAATTTGTTGTTGTTTACTACTTTGTTGTTGTTTATCCCTGCAGTTCCGTCAGCTACCACCAATGCCAGTACCCCCCTGCCACCCCCCAAGGCAGCATATGGGAAAGTCCAGATGACTTTTGTGAGTTCTTTTGTTCTGAGGACTATTCCTTTACAAGTTATTTAGGAAGACAGCTTTGTATTAATTTGGAAGAGGTGACAATGATTCAATTCCGTATCTGAAGATGGATACTACTACTAGTACTAACTACTACTAGTACTACTACTACTGCTACCACTACTCCTAACTACTACTAGTCTAAATACTTAAGTACTAACTATTACTGCTACTACTATTACTACAGTAACTACATTTGTAATACTACTTGCTTAACTTGTACCCTACTACTATTAGTACTCTGCTACTAGTACTAACTTAAAGATAACAAAAGTTCCTGGACCTTTAATTCTATGTCCAGTCTAACTACATGTACTAGTATTAAAAGATTGTTTTTTTACACTCCAAACTTTTGTTCCTGTAACCTTTTTTTATGTACTTTCAGCATTATGTAGAGCATTACCTCAGATGTACATACATGTACATTATATATCTGACAAATTTTACACAGTCAAGATTATTTTTGACAATGCTTTTTGAACTTTTTCTTCACATTTTTACTTCTTCCCAGGAAGCAACAGTGCTGGACAAGTTGTCGGACCTGTCTCCGGAAGGACCAATCAGAGCAGACTATCCCATCACCATGGAGAATATGCAGCAGAGCTATGGGTTCATGTTATACAGGGCAACTCTACCGGCCGCAGCTACAGGAGCCAAACTGTCAGTACCCGGGATCAGGGACAGGGGCTTTGTCATGCTGGACCAGGTTAGTATAAGGCTCTGTGGAGGTCTGTATATATAGTGACAGCCTATAGCTAGTCTGTTGATCACAAACCACTAACGAAACTGTTGATTTGTTTGAACCATTTTTTATTAATGGAAGCTCAAATTGGCATGCAAGCCAGTTTTCAATGAGGTCATGATCATGAAGAAAGAGGTACATGTAAGGGTCAGACAAAATACAGTGTCATGTATCAACAAAATAAAGTTGACTATCATGAAAGTTCATCTGTGTTGGTAGTTACATGTTTAAAGTTAAAACTTTTGATCCAACACAAAAATTCTCTCACCTAGAGCTTTCAACCAGTCACTCTGGTCTTCCT